ACCATGAAATGTCTGAAGACCTGCTTGTAACTGACTATTAATAGATTCAATATTAAAATCAGACAAAAAAAGAACAGTATCATCAGCATACATTAAAATATTTGAATACTTCAATATTTTTGGAAGGTCATTTATGTATAATAGGAAAAGCAATGGGCCCAGTATGCTACCCTGCTGAACTCCCACGGAACAGGGCAGAGACCCGGACACAGAGCTTCCATGTTTCACAAACTGACACCTATCAGTAAAAGTGTGTAAATGAGCTGCGTAAACTGATGAATGCTTATCCAGCTGCTTGTGCACGGGGAGAGGTGATTAGCATAATTACCACCCCAAAAACACCATATAAAGCTACACGTTCCTGCCCCGCATACCAGGAAGTGTCCATTCATAAATAACATCGCAAAGTAAAAAAGAAGAACTTTACAAGTTCGGAGATTGAAGTCCTGCTGTCAGAGTTCCAGAAAAGAAAATCTCATTTTTAGCAGCGTCAGTCGTGGAATTAAAGGAGCTGCTAAAGCCGAGGAATGAAATGATGACTGATGCTATGTCTCCTGTGGGTCGTATACAGTCACAAAAATATATATATATAAATCATATTCATCTCTCTCTAGTCCTACTCCGGTTTTCCTTTGGTCAAATATGTTTAAGTGTAAACAACTGTGTTACATAGTTTTCATTTATTCAGAAGAAGAACAGTTGCGTCTGGACTCGTACGCACAACTTAAGAACAAATCTGTGCGTACGAACAGTTCTTGCATGAGGCCCATTGTCTCTTACACAGAAAATCTGAGAAATTAAGTACTTTTACCAGCATTACAGATTGTTACAGCTGTTTGTTTGTTGTTTTATCTGTTGCTTTCAAAAACAGACTTTTCATTTAAATAATACATCTTTTTTTACCTCCTAAGTTGGGCAACTTTGAGGTTTCAAAGGGTTAGAAAATGTCTGGAAAATTTTTTAGAAACTTTCTATCTGACGTTGAGCTGGGAAATTTGGAAATATTCTAAACTGGAACCCTTCCATAAGAAAACAATTCAAAAACTTGGGCACAATTTAAATTTATTACATCCAAACAAAAAATAAGATTTTGTCATAAGCATATAACTGCTTTCTGCGTTTATGATGATGTCACTGATTAAAAAAAACACAAACTGTTATTCATTTGGAGCCATTCTTGTCTTCCTAATATTGATTAGCACTGGTGGCCATGCTGAAATGGGTTGATGCAAAACTATTAAAGGTGCATGATGTGTCACTACCACCACACCATATTTTATTTAAATATTGGTAACATTAACTGAATTTTAGCTAATGTTGTGTTTTACAACATCTGCTGGCTGTAGCAGCCATCTGGAATTTAACAAATAGAAATAGTTTTGGGACTCCTAACTGACCTAAAACAGGAAAGGTTTTGTCTGATTTAATGTCAGAAAGTGAAGAAAAGGATTTTGTGTGTTTTTATACAATTATTATTATTGTTATTATTATTATTTATTTATTTTATTATGTGGCAGGATTTTGATCTTCTGGGTGAAAAGATAATGTCTTGTGGGATGGACCACTCCCTGAAGCTGTGGAGAATCAACTCTGAGAGGATGCAAAAAGCCATTCGTGGCTCGTACGAGTACAACCCCTCAAAGACAAACAGGTGAAGACGTTTGTCTTAGAGTTAAACAATAAACAGCTGTGGATATGTATTTAAAAATCATTTTTCTTCTCAGGCCTTTTGTCTCTCAGAAGATTCACTTCCCTGACTTCTCAACTCGAGACATCCACAGAAACTACGTGGACTGTGTGCGGTGGCTCGGGGATCTTATTCTTTCCAAGGCAAGTGTTGCTGTTTTTACTTGCTTTTAAGCTTGTGTTGGTCATAAAAACTACAAATACTCAAACTTGTGTGGGGTGGTCATGATTGTTCAAGCGTTTGTGTTGATGCCACAGTCCTGTGAAAACGCCATTGTCTGCTGGAAACCAGGAAAGATGGAGGACGACATCGACCACATCAAGCCAAACGAGTCGAACGTGACGATTCTGGGACGTTTCGATTACAGCCAGTGTGACATTTGGTACATGAGGTTCTCCATGGACTTCTGGCAGAAGGTTCCATAACTTTTCTTACTTTTATGTTTTGAACTCTTTCTGGCTGACAAACATAAAGTCAGGATGTTTTCTGTTTGTTTTGTTGTTGGTTTGGATCTTTGTGCCTCCAAAGATGCTGGCTCTGGGAAACCAGGTGGGGAAGCTTTATGTTTGGGACCTGGAGGTGGAGGATCCTCACAAAGCCAAGTAAGTAGCAGAGATTTGTTATCAGACATGGAGAAAAAGAAAGACCATCCTCTGGGGTTCCAGGGTTTTAAGTATCAGTACATAATAAAACTGACCTGGTCTTTGCCAGGTTCAGAAATAATACAATTCTGATCTCAAATAAATGGCACACAGCCCATTTCAACATGTCAATTTTTAAAACAAAACAGAAAATCTGAGAGTACAAACTGGCTCCAGCCTTGCTGCTTCCACAGGATTTAAGTTCAGTATCAGCCTGGAGCTGCTGATCAAACATATTGATTTAATGATCATGTTCCTCTGGAAAAGCAGGAGTCTTTTCTGCTCTGGAGCACACAGGTGTGTTAACACAATGCCAAGATGGAACTACTTCAGTGGGGTCAAAGGTCATTTCAAACCATTAAAGTCTATCATTCTGCAGAGAGTCAAATTATTCACAAGTAGAAAACATTAAAGGCAGCTGCCGGTCTTAACAGGAGTGGCAGCAGTCACCCTGAAGGGCAGACTGTACACTGCTCAGAGAAATTAGCTCCATGTCAGACTTTGTCAGTTTCATTTGAAGGAACCAGTGAGGTCAGAGTACATATGTTTACCCATAATGCACAGTAGCAAACGCCTCATAACTGTCAGCACAGTGGTGGAGGGTTGATGGTTTGGCTCCCTACAGTCACTGAGTCGACCACGAGCTCCTCTGTAGACCAAAGAATTGGAGTCTAATGTGAGAACATCTGTTTAACAAGTTTGTAGTAAACTGGGTCATGATGCATCAGAACAATGATCCCAAACACAGCAGCTAATCTACAACAACTGCAGAAAAACAATGACCTGCAGCAGGGTTGGGTATAATCATATCATGTGCAATTAATCGTCAGAAGAACATTAATCGATTAATTTTTGGCACTTGACGATTAATACGATTAATGCCACCAGGGGAGATTTCTCCAGTCAGTCCGCTCGGTGCTCCTCTCTGCATCAAATATGATGAACATTTAAAAAAAAGGTTCTGTAATTTATTTATCTATCAACACAATTTAAAAATTTGATGTGTAGCCTGAAGTCTGTAATTTTGACAAAATTTGGAACAGATTTTTATGAAGAGCAAATCTTTCCCACTAAATTGGTCATGTGACTAGGACATAAGAATGTTCAGGGACTCCAGGGAATTTATCGTCAAATTAATCGTTATCGGCTAAATACCCCAATTAATAGTGATTAATTTTTTTGCCAATATTGCCCAACCCTATGCAGCAGTCCAGTAAATAAGTTCACTTTGAAATGTGTTGTGTTTTTTTGTGCACTTGAGGTAAGGTCCACAGTATTCCTGACTTCTCCCCACTACACATAATTCATAGCTGAAGCCAGTTTTATACTTCTGCTTAGTAGGGTTGGGCAGTATTGGCAAATAAATTAATCACAATTAATTGGTGTATTTAGCTATAACGATTAACTTGACAATTCACCTGGAGTCCCTTATGTCCAAATCACATGACCAATTTAGTGGGAAAGATTTGCTCTTCGTAAAAATCTGTTCCAAATTGTGTCAAAATTACAGACTTCAGGCTGTACATCACATTTTAAATTGTGTTGATAGATAAATAAATTACATCACTTTTTTTAATGTTCGTCATATCTGAAGCAGAGAGGAGCACCGAGCGGACTCTGCCTGGTGGCATTAATTGTATTAATCACCAAAAGTGCCAAAAATAATCTATTGTTTTTCTGATGATTAATTGCACACAATACGATTATGTCTAAACGTACTGCTTGTGCTGTTGTTTACAATTACGTGGGTCCACCATCGCTGTTATGCAAGTATTTTTCACTGAAGTTTGGTGTAAATGGTAACACTTCTGAAGTTTATAAACTGTAAGGACGTTTCAAAAAGCAGCGAGGACAATTCTTTAACAGTGGCTCACTGTCACCTCACGGACAGATGACATGAAGCTTATGGCCCGATGTTAGACTGCTGACATCAACTACCTCAACTTTTCCAAAGACACACACACACACACACACATGCAAAATCATAAATGTCTTTTTTCTTAATCTAAAAAAAAATCATAAATGTCAACAGTTCTGTTTTTAAAATGTTCCTAAGCCCCTCAGAATTGTAATGATTTTATGAAAGTATTGTGAATAGCCTTTTTTTTACCCCCATTCTAAATTCACTGTATGCTAGTTTGCTTGGAACCTTTAACTAGAGTTGAACTGGAGGGTTTCATGCAGCTGCAGTCATTTTAAATAAATGATAAATAAAAATGTGAGCCATCATATCGAAATGAGGATTAAGTCAAATTTGGTGAAAATGACCTCATTACATTTTCAGATTCTTGGCTTTAAAAGCTACATTTTGATACCTGGATCATTCTGACATCATAATTAAATCCATATATATGACTTAATTTGTCTTGTTGGTTACAATAATACATAAATATTTGGTCTGAATCCTAGTTTTATGTCCTTTTAATGAGGAATTTTTGTTGTCCTTATAAAGAGGAAACCTCATATTATATTTGAATATTGAGATTTCCCAGATAAAAAGAAACAAAACTTTGCTAACTCACAGGGAAAATCTCAAAATTTTTTGGCGTTTTTCCTCAAAATCATTGTTTTTGTTGCTACTGCTCAAAAAATGCTTCAAAATTTTTGTTTTATGATTAAATTTCAGACAGTTCATTCATCTGATACATTGATACGGCTTTTATTCATTATATTTTGACAAAATGCAATTTTTGTTAACATTTTAGTCAAAACACTATATTTGCCTATTTCTCCATTTACAACTTTTGGACTTAATCCTCGTTTCGATGTGATGGTTCACAAATAAACAAACTGCCTCTAATAACTCTGTTGGCAGATTCTTTATTAAAACAAACCAGAGACTTTTATAACCTTGGGGTTTAATCTCCTCATCTTTTAATGCTGCCATGTAGACAAAATTATTTAGCTTGTATTTAAGAAGAGGATTGTTTAATATTCCCAGCTTACTCAGAATTGAGACAGTTAAATGAAGCCATTTATATGGTTTTACCAGCATGCAGCTACAAACCATGGGCTTATTATTTCTTTAAAACTGAGACTTTGCTACAAATGAAATGCTAACATTCAGGCCAACATTACATACAGCAGCAGCTAGTGCTGATGCTAACACCACCCACTGTAGGCTTTAATTTAAAGAAAGGAAAGACAAAAAGCAAAGAAGTGCATGATTAAATAGTGAAACAGGAACAAAGCACATGTACAGTTTCAGTCAGCAGACAGGTCCAGATTCAGGGGTTTTGTTCATATTGCTGGAAGCTGTCTGACTCACAGTGGTCCAGACGAGCCGCCTTTGGAGGCCAGTCGTAGCCCAGATAGAGCTCTGGATTAGAGTGTATGTTTGTGGGCTTTTTGTCGATAAAATGAAAAGAGAAAAAAAACTCTTTGGGTTTTGAGTTTTAAAGCTTCCAGCAGTGTTAGTTCATGATCCTCCTTCGTCGGCATAAAGTGCAGTTTGTAGGGTGCTGAGCGTGGACATGCCTTTACTACTTATTGTTCCAGGAAAAAATGTTTCTAAAGCATTTCTCAGTTTTGTTGAGCTGTTGTGGCAGCCGACAAAAACACAAGTTGAACCTGAGCTCATGATCAAACTGCTCAAGCTGCCAGTTAAAGCAAAAACAAACAGGTTTTGTTGTTATAATGAATCTCTGGTTCTCTGCATACTGGAAATATGAAACTGGGAGGTGGAACTAGTGGTCTGTCATGGCAGCTTACATACACTTTTACAGAAACTGTGAATAGAATGTTTTAAAGATTATTTTATTGTGTCCTGAAAATAAAAGCCCTCACACTGAAAGAACGTGGACTTTCTTTTACCGATGGCTATAGTAGACATCAGTCTACATTTTGGTGTGTTTTAGAGAAGCAGGAAGTCCTGAATTTTGAATAAAGTGCAAAATAAACATTTCTTTAAATTCCTCAAGTGTGTTTTTTGCAGTTATGCATAAAAACAAACTCCTCATTCTTTTTGCCTTTGGTTTGCCCTCAGGTGCACCACACTGACGGTTCCTAAATGCACGTCAGCCATCAGACAGACCAGCTTCAGCCGCGACAGCAGCATCTTGATCGCAGTGTGCGACGACGCCTCCATCTGGCGCTGGGACCGACAGCGTTGAGCGCTCTGGACAACAGGAAACCCATTTCTTGTTACTCCTTTGCTGACACACTGCAGGGGGAAAATCATCTGTTCAAACAAAAACCCATCAAGGAACTGTTTTATTCCAAAAAAGGAGATTATTTTTTTTATATCTGACCCCTGAATTTATTCAATAAAAAATAACTTCTGAATAAATTGTGCCTTTTAAATTTTCTATGCATTTACTAAAAATAAAGCCACATTTGATTTAGTTGAAAGATGTTTTTTTTTAAAAAGTTGTTTTTCTGCAGTGTGTCACAATATTTTTATTTTATTTTCTTTGTTCCATGTATTTTATTTTAGTGTCTGATTTGCTACTTTGGACACATTAAATAGCTTTGTTGTTCAATTGAATATGGTTTGACATTGGAAACTTCCCTGAGTTACATCAATAAAAATGTTTTTGTACATTTGTGTGTAAGATTGTAAATATAACTCAGTTTTAGCCATTTTTTAATTTAATTTTTTTAAAGAACTACAGGTATCTTATAGAAATCTTTTGCTACCACAGCTAAAAAAAAAAGGATGAGGGGGAGGGTAGACTTGTTACATGTTTATGTACTCTTTTTTTTTTTTGTATTACAGGGAAAATTTGAGCAGTATTTTTTTACAAATACATAATATAAAAATATAATTAAAGTAGCACCATCTAAACAATTTTGAAAGGTGCTGTTGTGCTGAAGTGTCCAATATTACTATTCTGATCTTTAAATCTTAATTGTACTCTCAAAATCTATCTAGAATAATAGCTTCATCCAAACCATCAACATGTCTGCTAGATCCCATCCCAACCAGACTGTTCAAAGAAGCATTTCCCTTATTAATATTTATTTTTTAGATGTACTTAATTTATCTCTAATAAATGGTTATGTGCCACAGAGCTTTAAGGTTGCTGTAATTAAACGTTTACCTAAGAAACCTGATCTTGATTCAGGAGTTCTGGCCAACTACAGACCGATATCTAATCTTCCATTCATCTCAAAATTCTTGAGAAATTAGTTGCAAATCAACTACGTGAACATCTGGATAGAAATAATCCATATGAGGAGTTTCAGTCAGGGTTTAGAGCTCATCATGTCACAGAAACAGCACTGGTGAACATTACTAATGATATCCTCATGGCTTCAGACAGTGGACTTGTGTCCATTCTTGTCCTGTTAGATCTCAGTGCTGCATTTGATACAATTGATCACAATATTTTATTACGTAGACTTGAACTTGATATTGGGATTACAGGAACAGCTCTAAAATGGTTTGAGTCTTATTTAACTGATAGATTTCAGTTTGTTAATGTTAATAATGAATCTTCTGCTTATACCAGAGTTAGTCATGGAGTTCCTCAGGGTTCAGTGCTTGGACCAGTCCTCTTTATTTTATATATGCTTCCATTAGGTAAAGTTATTAAACAGCATGGGATAAATTTCCATTGTTATGCTGATGATACTCAGTTATATTTATCCATGAAACCTGATGAATCCAAYCAGTTACTTAAACTACAAGCATGTCTTAACAACATAAAAACATGGATGACTCTTAACTTTCTGCTTCTAAACTCAGATAAGACAGAGGTTATGGTTTTTGGACCTGAACATCTTAGGGATCAACTTTGTAGCCTTTCACCTCCTCTGGATGGCATTAATCTGGCCTCCAGTTCTAATGTAAAGAAACTTGGTGTTATTTTTGATCAGGATATGTCTTTTAACCCCAACATTAAAAATGTTACCAGGACCGCCTTCTTCCACCTGCGTAATATTACTAAAATTAGAAATATTTTGTCCAAAAATGATGCAGAAAAACTGATTCATGCATTTATCATGTCTAGACTGGATTACTGTAATTCTTTATTAACTGGACATCCAAAAAAACTCTTTAAGTCTTCAGTTAATCCAAAATGCTGCTGCTAGAGTTTTAATGAGTTGGAAAGAGAGATCATATTTCTCCAGTTTTAGCTTCTCTCCACTGGCTCCCTGTCAAATTCAGAATAGAATTTAAAATATTACTCCTAACATACAAAGATCTTAACAATCAAGCTCCATCATATATTAAACATCTTATTGTTCCATACTTTCCTCAGGGCTCTTAAGTCTCACTCATTGAGAGTGACACACACACATCTGAGCTCTCCACTGAGAACTGACTAACGCAAAAACTCAACTCCAGTCCACTTTTTTTTTATTAAAAAAAAAAACACAAGTATTGGTATAAATCCAGTCCACGTTTTCGCTGCAACCCGTGGTGTTGCACACAGGGACATGCCAGGTTCACTATCCTGATGTTCCCATAGTTGATTTGCTACTATTTTCTCAAGAATTTTTGAGATGAATGGAAGATTAGATATAGGTCGACCAGAACTCCTGAATCAAGATCAGGTTTCTTAAGTAAATGTTTAATTATATCAACCTTAAAGCTCTGTGGCACATGTTGATCTCTTTCTCTGTACAGTGTTGCTATTTTGGGTTAATTATTAGGGCTTTATCTTCTCTGGATTTATGTATGTTCCTTTGTGTATATATATA